TGTTGATGCTTTTCAAAACTGCTGGGGCGTCTTTTAAATATGACAAAGACAAGTCGTGCAATGTTAAGCTGCCTACTGTGGGCCAGGATTCATCTGGTACTGTGTCAGTGCTGTATCCAGGCTCTGATTCAATGTTGGTGTAATTCAACACCCTCTCTACTGACGTCATATGGCTTTCTGCTTCTGAGGCCATGCGAATCGCGTATTGACACACTTCTAATGATTCCATTACGAACGCCAAGGACATTCCTGCTAAGGCTAAAAATGGACATCAATCACCATTCAAATCAACTAACTTAACAGAGTGCAAAATTACGGTACATTTACACCGGTAAACTTCCGGAGGAGAGGGAACTTCTGCATCAGAAAGTAGTCCCGTTTTCCTGATGGGCCGTTCCGAATCGAAATTAATTCGTCTTACTTGTACCATTTTGCATTGTTTGCATTGACCAATTAAGCCGTGCAAAAAAAAAATCGGTTGGTTCGCGAACGGAATTTCTAAATTAAAAGTAATAAACAACCAAAGTTGCTGAAAACTAAATTGTTCTACAGCTGTTACAACCCTTACACATAATCATTTGATACCAAGGTTATCTATGACTAAATAATATTGAGGACAACTTGGTAAGAAGAGTTCGGCTGACACTGCGTTAACTAGAGTGCATGTTTTGTCAATGATCTTGCTCAGCTACCGACAACTGTCACAGGTCGGCTGGGAAAAACCAGTTGTCGACAATAAAACCATATAGTTGTCGTTAACTAGCTCTCTCTTCTTGTCACTCTCACACGGCTGCATGAAAGTAGAAATGAAAGGAACATACTACTAGATTATCAAACACAACAACTAAAATGAAAGAGAATATAGCCCTTGCAGCGTTGAATACCTGGACTTTGAGTAGCGAATAGGGCTCCAGCTGACACAGACGTTACAAGAAAGACACTTAGAATATCTCCTCTAATAGCAAGCCAACGTGTTGATGCCTTGAGCATGATTGATGCTGAGGTGTTCCTGTCTAAGTACCTAAATAGCAATAGAATAGAAAACTGAACATTTCGGTTTAGCGATTAAAGTAGACAGGTTTCTGTATCTAAACTATCAACCGTGAAGCTTCCGCTAAGATTATTTACGCTTTTCTGCTTGTTTTGGTCTACTAAAGTACTTCTCAATCATTTCGTCGTCTTCAGTAATGTTGCATGCTTTTCCGCGCCATCTCTAAGCATCGAGTATCGTGCCATTTGCATTGTGTTTAAGGCTATTCGAGCCAATATTTGACTTTGCTTTTTTTTTCTTTGTCTTAACGATACCCGAACTCCGGCAATAATTTATGATTACGACTTGAAGTATATTCATTGCACCTCAATACTGCTTTGTTGTTCGGCAGCCTGGCCCAACGCGTGGTACCCACAACTGAATTTAGTCTGTGACTAACCTAAAAAGCTTGCAAAGAAAACTACTCTCCATCTCTGAGGAGCGAATTACTTCCAATCCTGCCACAGTGTCAGCAATACAGGAATACACTGGACTGCACGTCATTGAATCTAGTCGTCTTATTTCCCGGGCGGATTTCAAATAGTATTTGGTCAAGTAAATATACAACAAAGCCAAAGGCGTACAACTAATGACTAGCCATACATTTGCGACTGCTGAGAGAATGGTAGCGCCGAAAACGTACAGCAAAAGTTTAACTGCAAAAAGGAATTGCCCTGGAAGCAGATCATCCATGCAACCAATATCTTTAGAAAAGCGATTTAGGATGCGACCAACTGGATTTGTGTCAAAGAAAAGAACTGGTGCTTTCATAACTGTGGTTATCATCTGGTCATGGAGGTTTTCCGAAGCCTTCAATGCCGCGAGGTAGAAACAGAAGGAGGCCGTTATCGTAAGAAGCAAGGAGACCAAAGCAATAGATCCGTACACCAAAAGGGTAATGTAGTTCTTCTGCTGTTCGAATGACATCTCAGTCATCTGGGAGAGCCACCAGTAGGGTGCAATCCAGGACACTATGTATATGAAAAAATAATCAGAATATCGTTCATATAAATAATATCAAGGTCTGAAAATTGACAATTTGTTAGTATATTGTTAGCTTGTTTTGGTCAACTGATAGCTAGACATTGGTCAAGTTCCTTCTTTGCTTTTTTCTCAATAGTGCAAAAAAAAGGAACGACGCCAATATGTAGCCATCTTGAACGAACAAGCTTGGTCAAAGATGGATTGAATGTGTCATACATACAAATAAACGCTGTTTTTCAATTTAGCCAATTAGTTTTGACATGCTACCTACGTTATCGGGAAATACACCCTTTCACCAAGTTCCCACGCTTTACGGCAAATCTGGCTAGGGACCGCAAACGAGGATGCTATTATACGTAGGATCTGTTGGATATCACCCAAAAATAGAAATACAAGCAAGACNCCATAACTCGATATACGCACGCTAAGCATGAACCAATTTTTTATTCATGTCTTATGTAATAAGTCAAATTATTCTAGCATTTTGATTGGTTCTCATCTATGATCTATTAGAGGACAGGTGCATAGATGACGTCATTATAACAAACATTTCCCAGAATAATTTCAGAATTTACATAATATTTTACGTGACTGGGCGAAAGATAAGGTATAAAAAAAGTCTTCTCGAGACTGTGAACAGGTACGAGAAGCAGGAACAAGAAAGAAAAAGTCGTTTCTTTTTTAGAAATTGACTCTCAGTCCGCAGTCGAGGGAGACTAAACCGAACACAAAATTAGTATTAAAATTATTTCAAGGTAGGAAACCATTGCTTTGTCTCAAATCTAACAAACCCAATAAGCAAAATGCTTATGAGATCAATTTATTTAAACAATTCAACTTTTTAAGCCTCAAAATAGTTGTTTACGCAGATTGGTGTCAGAAAAAAAAAAACATATCCCATACAGAGAAAATTGAACCCCTGACGCATTTCTAGGATTCACCCTGAATCATTTTCTAGAACCTTAGATTAAGTTAATCCTTAAAACTCTTGGATGACTCAGCCGTTCGTTCACGTTTGTTGAAGATATTTTTCAGTACCTTTTGCTATAGTTACCTCTAGCCTGCAAAAGATACTTAGTTTACTGCTGATAAGATCTTGCAACAAAATATCAAGGTAAAGTGTAAAACCCCTATCTAAGCCTTATACCCAAGGTAATCCCTCTTAAGTTATTTTTAGACATGATACCGAGTTCTTCCGCGGATGTTACTCACGCGTTGCGTGAGTAAGACGTGGAGGATACAATTAGACCAAAAAATGGTGAACCACGCGTCCTGAAACAAAAATCTCCAAGCTCGTTTGCAGTCTTAACTACACAATCACAGCGGAGGAAAAATTGTTTTGCGGAGGTAGTTCTAGCGAGAACGACGAATTTCTGGGGTTCAGTCCGGTCATAAAACTAAAAGGTTGAGATAGCTCTCGCGAAAGTTACCTTGACGCCGGCAGAATTAAACCTTACTTTAGGTATAAGGGTTATACGGGGTATTAACCCAAGCCTGACCTTGTTTTGTATCTTGAAATAAATTCCCTAACGTTTTCTTCCAGTCTTAGCAGGTTTAAAGACTACTGTTTTAAGGGCAAGCTGAGTTAGAAGCCTGAACAAGACGAGCCAAGAATCCATTCTTATTTTGAAGCAAAACTTCAGGTTTGTCAAACTCAACCACTCGTCCCTGCTCCATAACCAACACTTTATCATAGTCCATGATGGTGTTCAAGCGATGAGCGATGGTTACTACTGTGGAATCTTTAAATCTGTTGCGTATAACTTCTTGAATCAGTCTGTCTGTCTTGAAATCCACATTAGCAGTGGCTTCGTCCAGAATGATGATCTTACTTCTTTGTAACAGCGCACGCGCTAAACAGACCAATTGGCGCTCTCCGACACTGAAGTTGCTCCCAGACTCTCTCAACTTGTAATCCAGCTGGTCAGGTAATTGTTGCACCAGGGTCTTCAACTGCACATCTTCCAAAGCACGCCACAAATCATGATCTTGATACAAAGAGAAAGGGTCTAGGTTCTTCCTGAGGCTGCCGCTAAAGAGGACAGGATCCTGGGTTATTACGGCCATGGACCTGCGAGACGCCTGAAGATTGAGATCCTTGATGTTCACACCATCTATAATGACCTGCCACATAAATATAGTTGGTTATTATACTACTACAATTTGTTGGTGGGCGCCTGTTATTCTATTTTCCTCAGTTTCTATTAGCAGGAGAAAGAACGGATCACGATTAAAGAAAGTATATTAATGCAATCTAATATGAGCATTATTTCGAATTATTTGTCACTCGATGATAGCGGCTCGTGACTGTATTACACTGTATCATGCGGATTGTTGTTGATGTTGGTTTTAAGAACGTGCTGCATCTGTGTTAACAGAGCGCAAGTAATGAATAGCACAGAACACGAAAAGGAACATTACTTACTTGACCCTCAGGCTCTGGCATTCGGAAAAGAGCCGCCACTAAAGACGATTTCCCAGCTCCGGTTCGACCTACAACGCCAATCTTCTCCTTCGCAGCGACATTGATGTTGATGCTTTTCAAAACTGCTGGGGCGTCTTTTAAATATGACAAAGACAAGTCGTGCAATGTTAAGCTTCCTACTGTGGGCCAGGATTCATCTGGTACTGTGTCAGTGCTGTATCCAGGCTCTGATTCAATGTTGGTGTAATTCAACACCCTCTCTACTGACGTCATATGGCTTTCTGCTTCTGAGGCCATGCGAATCGCGTATTGACACACTTCTAATGATTCCATTACGAACGCCAAGGACATTCCTGCTAAGGCTAAAAATGGACATCAATCACCATTCAAATCAACTAACTTAACAGAGTGCAAAATTACGGTACATTTACACCGGTAAACTTCCGGAGGAGAGGGAACTTCTGCATCAGAAAGTAGTCCCGTTTTCCTGATGGGCCGTTCCGAATCGAAATTAATTCGTCTTACTTGTACCATTTTGCATTGTTTGCATTGACCAATTAAGCCGTGCAAAAAAAAAATCGGTTGGTTCGCGAACGGAATTTCTAAATTAAAAGTAATAAACAACCAAAGTTGCTGAAAACTAAATTGTTCTACAGCTGTTACAACCCTTACACATAATCATTTGATACCAAGGTTATCTATGACTAAATAATATTGAGGACAACTTGGTAAGAAGAGTTCGGCTGACACTGCGTTAACTAGAGTGCATGTTTTGTCAATGATCTTGCTCAGCTACCGACAACTGTCACAGGTCGGCTGGGAAAAACCAGTTGTCGACAATAAAACCATATAGTTGTCGTTAACTAGCTCTCTCTTCTTGTCACTCTCACACGGCTGCATGAAAGTAGAAATGAAAGGAACATACTACTAGATTATCAAACACAACAACTAAAATGAAAGAGAATATAGCCCTTGCAGCGTTGAATACCTGGACTTTGAGTAGCGAATAGGGCTCCAGCTGACACAGACGTTACAAGAAAGACACTTAGAATATCTCCTCTAATAGCAAGCCAACGTGTTGATGCCTTGAGCATGATTGATGCTGAGGTGTTCCTGTCTAAGTACCTAAATAGCAATAGAATAGAAAACTGAACATTTCGGTTTAGCGATTAAAGTAGACAGGTTTCTGTATCTAAACTATCAACCGTGAAGCTTCCGCTAAGATTATTTACGCTTTTCTGCTTGTTTTGGTCTACTAAAGTACTTCTCAATCATTTCGTCGTCTTCAGTAATGTTGCATGCTTTTCCGCGCCATCTCTAAGCATCGAGTATCGTGCCATTTGCATTGTGTTTAAGGCTATTCGAGCCAATATTTGACTTTGCTTTTTTTTTCTTTGTCTTAACGATACCCGAACTCCGGCAATAATTTATGATTACGACTTGAAGTATATTCATTGCACCTCAATACTGCTTTGTTGTTCGGCAGCCTGGCCCAACGCGTGGTACCCACAACTGAATTTAGTCTGTGACTAACCTAAAAAGCTTGCAAAGAAAACTACTCTCCATCTCTGAGGAGCGAATTACTTCCAATCCTGCCACAGTGTCAGCAATACAGGAATACACTGGACTGCACGTCATTGAATCTAGTCGTCTTATTTCCCGGGCGGATTTCAAATAGTATTTGGTCAAGTAAATATACAACAAAGCCAAAGGCGTACAACTAATGACTAGCCATACATTTGCGACTGCTGAGAGAATGGTAGCGCCGAAAACGTACAGCAAAAGTTTAACTGCAAAAAGGAATTGCCCTGGAAGCAGATCATCCATGCAACCAATATCTTTAGAAAAGCGATTTAGGATGCGACCAACTGGATTTGTGTCAAAGAAAAGAACTGGTGCTTTCATAACTGTGGTTATCATCTGGTCATGGAGGTTTTCCGAAGCCTTCAATGCCGCGAGGTAGAAACAGAAGGAGGCCGTTATCGTAAGAAGCAAGGAGACCAAAGCAATAGATCCGTACACCAAAAGGGTAATGTAGTTCTTCTGTTGTTCGAATGGCATCTCAGTCATCTGGGAGAGCCACCAGTAGGGTGCAATCCAGGACACTATGTATATGAAAAAATAATCAGAATATCGTTCATATAAATAATATCAAGGTCTGAAAATTGACAATTTGTTAGTATATTGTTAGCTTGTTTTGGTCAACTGATAGCTAGACATTGGTCAAGTTCCTTCTTTGCTTTTTTCTCAATAGTGCAAAAAAAAGGAACGACGCCAATATGTAGCCATCTTGAACGAACAAGCTTGGTCAAAGATGGATTGAATGTGTCATACATACAAATAAACGCTGTTTTTCAATTTAGCCAATTAGTTTTGACATGCTACCTACGTTATCGGGAAATACACCCTTTCACCAAGTTCCCACGCTTTACGGCAAATCTGGCTAGGGACCGCAAACGAGGATGCTATTATACGTAGGATCTGTTGGATATCACCCAAAAATAGAAATACAAGCAAGACCGATATGAGTGAGAAAATTTACGCAAACACGACATGATGGAGTCCAAACTGAAAGCCAAGATGGTTGGGTCTCGTCAGCACAGTCACAGGAAAAAATAGAGCGACGAGCACAAAACCCAGCTTTCTACAAAATACATATGGTAATGATCTGAGATGAAGCTCAAATCCAAACGTTAGTGCTGATTGGCCTATGCCACATGCACAACGTGTGACTATGAACAATAGTAAAGAATTTGGGATATAATTGGGGACAGAAAAATTATCCTGCAAAAAATATATATGGCCTATACCAATTTAAACTAACTAAGGAAAATTAAAAGTCTGCATGCGAGCCAACTGAAGTGGCCGACTTTCTACGTAGCGTTAAGCGACCAGGAGTCTTTCCACTTTCCCCTGGATGGGTTGCTTGTCCAGCATTCAATTCATCGGTACCCTGTTCTATATACCTAACTGGAGAGAGACACTACGAGAGTAAATTGTGTTGCCCAAGAACGCAAAACATTGTCAGTCATCGTTGAGAGCTCGAACCTGGATAGCTCAATCCAAACTCGAGTGCGCTAACCATAAGCCGCTGCACCTCCCTTGTGCTTAACTAAACTCTTGTGTAAACCAAGTCATTATACGAATCTACTTACCCTGAACAATAACGAAGAAAACAGCAAGGGCGGCTATCAAACCAGTTGGAAGAGCAGCTCTAAGATATTTCCAGTACACCCACCACTTGATGGTCCCAACCATTCTGTCTTCGTCTTCTTCTTCGAGATCCATTCTTTCACCCTGTTTTTCAACATTAAGCGCTTTACCTGTTTCAAGCCTGCACACTTCTTCTCCGCAGTGTTGCACCTGATCCCGTCTCTTGTCATTGACCTGATATTCTGTCCCTCTAATTTTCTTTTCTCTCTCCAATCCATCATATGTACCCTCGTACACAACCAAGCCTTTCTCTAGCATGATAACGTAATTAGTCTGTTTCAGAAATTGTAACTGGTGAGTGACCAGAATACGTATTCGTTTGTCTAAGAACTCTTTGACGCATCTGTCAAACAAATGTTTACCGACTTTGGCATCCACTGCACTGAGTGGATCATCCAATAAGTAGATGTCGGCATCTGAGTAAATTGCGCGTGCCAAACTAACTCGTGCACGCTGACCACCACTGAGGATCACTCCACGTTGTCCAATCTCAGTTAAGTCACCTTTTGGGAAACGTGTTATATCAACTGCCAGGTCGCATGCTTGAATAATTTCAAGGTACTTGTGTTCAACAAAAGTCTTTCCGAATAGAATGTTCTCTCGCATAGTTCCAGAAAATACCCAAGGTGTCTGGGAGACGTAAGCAATTTTCCCGATGCAGGAGGTTTGACCAGCTGACATTGGAAGTTCCTCTAGGATGCTCATCAATAAAGATGTTTTGCCACTTCCAACAGGTCCTGTTACTCCCACAAGCTGTCCACTGGTAGCTTTCAGTGAGACGTTTTTTAAGGTGGGACGTTCCAAACGCTGGTCCCAAGAACACGAGATGCACTCGAGGACAATCTGGAATGGGGTGTGCTGAGGTGTTCCTTCCAATTTACGAGCACTTATCAAAACCGGTTTGCTAGACCTAAAGCTCTCAATTCTAACAGAACGATCTCTATATTTTCTGCTTCTAAAATGAACCTTGAGCTTTTGTTGATGATGCTTTTGGCTTGTTGATATTGAATCAATAGATTCGGTTTCGAGAAACCGCTGCATCCTGTTGCAAGCAGTTTTTGCATCTGCGATAATGCGGAGAGATTCTGCAATACACAGGGTCACAGTTAATTTAATGTTAGCCAAGGCTGAAAGCAATGTAAAAACTTGAAATGGTGTCAAAGGTATTCCTGTGAGAACAAGAGCCGTGACTGAAATGAGGCCTGCAATAGCAGAGCTAGTGAAGAACAATGCGTAGATACTGGCAATGATGAATCCTCTGAAACGGATGAAAGAGATTTCTTTCCTGGAACAGAAGTTAAGCAAAGCATGGTTTTATTACAAAAAGCTCTGAGACAATAAAAGCCATTAATAAAATCTTGTTTAACAGGTAGAAGACCGTTCAAAAACAGTGAAATCCCATATTTTATGATGATATTGCCATAACATAATACGTAGCAAGACTATGAACAATATTTAGAGGGATATTTTAAGGGATATAAAGCTGAATTCGTGACAAACTATTTCAGATTTGGAATCAGGAGTCTAGATAATTGACAATGAGATGAGAGGCCCGTTATGTGATAGCATTTTTGTTATTGTAGTCGTTGTAAGACTGGCTAGTAATCTACGACATACTTCCTTTGACTCGCCAGCCAATCCCATCACACTCAAATTAATATGACTAAAATATAAACTAATTTTCTGTACTCATAGCGCAATGAATGTTTTTTAAAAAGTGGAATATTTCGACCTTCAACTCAACCGAACTTCTTCAGCCACAATAAAACTTAACATGAATGATTCCATTATGATAAAAGAGCAGGAAGACAATATTTTTGATTGCAAATACGGTTATCAACCGTGTAGTACGGTTTTCATTGATCAGAACACGCGCAGTAGCTCGGTTATTTTATAAGCTATTCTATAGTTACTCACTCACTCGCTCTTCTAAGTCTAAGTACACCAACCACCATAATGGATCGCAGACACCAACCTTCTTATTTTTGCAACCAGCGCTCTGAAGTTCCATTCCCAGGCGTACATCTTCATAGCTCGCATTCCCTTAATAATCTCTTCAATTAACTGCAATCGTTTATCGATTAGTTCTGCAGCGTTTCTGCGCAACTGCCCAGCTTTTTTAGCTGCAACCGATCCATAGGCAGATACAATAACAAGGAAAGAGGTTCCAATCAACCCTTGCCAGGAGCCTACCATCCAAACAATTGCCAAGGAGATTGCGATGTCTAGTGTAGAAAACGAAACGAGCAGAAGTGGAAGGCCTACTAGTTCTATGGCTTTAGCGTCGTTGGAGACAATATTTATAATATTTCCTTGCACCACGTTTTCTAATGTTCGTCGATTCAGAGTAAGAAACTAAAAGATTAAAGAAGACCAGAACATAAAATTACGTCATAAAATTGTCTTATAACAAACCTCAAAATTAAAATAACCCCAAAGTGACTAACTTACATTGTCTGCTATGCAATGCTTCCGAATATCAGCCAAATCGAGATCAAAAGCACAGGAAGGAGGACGAACGAGAGGGAGAAATAAGTGGTAAAAGAAAAGAAAAACGAAGGTGGAGGGAAATTGTGAGAGCGATATGATAAAGGAAGAAGGGGGGGTAAAATGGAGAAAGAAGCAGGAGAATGAGTAGGAGGATTGAGAAAGAGTGTGGACAGGGAGTAGAGAGCACGAGGAGGCAGGAGAAGGAGGATGAAAAAGAATGAGAATGAAGGGAAAGGACAAAGACGAAGAGAAGGAGGGAAAGATATGATAGTAGAAATTAGACAGAGAATGAAGTAGGAGATGGAGCAGGTAGAAGGAATTGATGGAAGGAGAAAGTTAGAGGAGAACTTGAAAAGGAAGCGGAGGAGGAGGAAGATGAGGAGGACAGCAGAGCAGAAGTGGGCGCAGCGAAACCTAGTGGAGGCCACCATGGTGTAAATGAGAAATAACTTACCTTTTTATAAACAAAACCAATTACTGCAACCTTTAGACGAATCGCCATCACTTCCACCTGAAATACCCAGTGACTGCCGCACATCATCCTTACACTAGAGGTTAAAGCAATGCCAATGACAAAGGCTAGTGTTGTCGAGTAATATATCCTTGAAGCTGTTGAAATGCTTCTCAGGAAAAACCACAAAATCAAAGGCAAAGAGTCGTTTGACAGTGAGTAGAATATCCTAATCAATAATACTGTCATATAGTCTCTACAGGGAATAACTCTCATCATGGCCCTCCACAGGCGAGGCTTTGTTCGGTTCTGTTCGGAAGCTCTTTCCTCTGCCAGCCATTCCCTCTCCAAGTCAGCCACCAACCTTTCTGCTTGATTGGACATTCCCACTGGAAACAAGTGCTTCTCTTCCAATGGCTGTTTGCTCCCGTGTTTAAGAACATTGTTTATCCAGGAAAAGGTCAGCAGCGAGAGAAGACCAGCCTTCTCTCTTGGATTCTGCAAAGGGGTAACCTCCATTACTCACTCTTTCTGGCCCAGTGCAGAAGCCTGTTCGTGTGAAAAGACCAAAAAATGATGCATAAGGTAAAGACAATACTCTACCTAAGATTGCATGTTTCGATTGGAAACCTTCTTTCACTCAACCAAGAGGAATGTCAGCAACAACAAGACACTCGCCTTGTATTTTACTGGGATTATTGTTTGAAGTATTTTCTATTATTTACTTTCACGTGACCGTCACAGAAATCACCTTTCGAAGACAAGGGTTTTTGTCATGTCGATTCGTTGGCAAAAATGGAAAAATGTAGTAGCTTATGTGTAGTACACAGACTGAAAGTTAACCTAAATGTACTGTCATGCTTACACTATATTCAGTTACCAGTTGATAACACTTATCAACAAGAATGGTAAACCCTTAAAACCTCTAAGAGCAGCTGTACTTTAATATAAATTATACCTCGCCCAGAATGAGGCCTTAATGGCACTAGTTACAAAAATTTTGGTTTACGTTCGATCGGTCAATAAGTGTTGTGTAAACGAAATGTTTTCTTTTCGCTGCCCCAAATCGGCCAAAATCGATCGAAAATGAGCGTCACATTCAGAGGCTCGTAAACTCGAAAGTAAAGATTGTCATTAAAAACTACACATACGTGGTAATTTTACACTTTTCTTGTGCATTTAGAGCTAAATAGAAGCAATTTTATTTGGAATCCGGAGTCTAGGTAATTGATAATGAGATGAGAGGCCCGTTATGTGATAGCATTTTTAAGCGATGAGGTATTGTGTGACGTCATCGCTTTATGCTGGCATGCATGCATTCCTTTTGATGGCGATTTCGCATAGTTTGTCGCGCTTATGTCCGTGCACTTATGTCACGCACGATTTATCCCCCTGTGGAAACGAAATGTAGTCCTTTGCTGTTTGTAGGATCAGCGGAGTGCTTTTAATTGTAGCTTTTAAAAGAAGATTTAGGGGTGGATTTTGGTTTAAACAGTATCGGATAAATTTGCGTTCACAGGAAAACTCATAATAAGA